TGCATCTTTATTCATTATTAAATTTAATGGTAGATTTATTAAAATGGAAATTTTTTTGGGCACGCCAGTATAATTTTGATCTTAATGGTCCAGTATAAATAGGGTTAAGTTGTATACTAGAGATAAGATTATTTATTTAATGATATTATCTTGAGAACAAACGTTTTATGTTTAGGTAAAAGTTGATGCGTTTTTCTTTATAAATTAAATATTAAAACGCTATCTGGAAATTTGAACAGATTACAAAAAATTTAAAGAATATCCATAGTTTTTATAAGTAGGGAAAAACAAAGCAAGAAATCACACGTTTTAAAAATCTTGGGTTTTTGCAAATCTTAGACCAATTAAGCAGTAATATTTTGTCAGTATGCTTGTTTTATCATAATGATTCATTGCTTGCATAAGTTTTAAGTTTGCAAGTAGTAAAAATTGTAAAAAAAAATTTGTAATCAGTCATCTGGGCACGATAATAGAGAAAAATAAATTTGCTTTAAAAAAAAACTACAAAATTACACCCATAAAATATCACACATTAGCATTTACCCTAACCGCAATTTTATTTTTTAAGAGTGAAAAACATTTGACGAGAAAATAAATATTTGAACAATATTCAAAAAAACCAAAAATTGTATTTTAAGACGCAACCTATATATACAGATTTTTAATTTTTTAATTTTTTGCCCCATTTCGTCCTACTCTTTTTTTTTTTCAAAACTATTTTTTGCTGTATAACTAACAGATTTTTAATGGTACCATACCTAATGATACTAAAGCATATTACAAGAATCTTTTGTATGCTTCCAAATAAATTTAATTTAGTCTTTAAAATTCCTGGACTTAATAATATAGTATTTTTTTTAAATGTAAATCACATTCAATGTCGAAGGCCAAGTTTTTTAAAATTTTTTATTTTAATAAGGTGTTCTCAAAAGCCTTGCCTTAGAAATAAAAAAAAAAAAAAAAGCATGGAATAAAGTTTTGATTCTAAAGTTAATCTTTAGAACTAGGGTATTTCAATAAAGTGATAATGATTGCTGATTTCGCTCTACTCTATGTGTGTGTATATATATATATATATATATATATATATATATATATATATATATATATATATATATATATATATATATATATATATATATATATATATATATATATATATATATACATATATATATATATATATATATATATATATATATATATATATATATATATATATATATACATATATATATATATATATATATGTATTGCCTTTAAAAAAACAACATTTTAAAGGCAATATATATATAAACTACCATTCACCTTACAGCTGACAATCCCACAAAATAGATTGCGTGTAACTTCAATTTAATATTTTGATAAGTTTTAATAGTTGGTTACACTTAATTAAATTTTTTATATTGTAAAAAAAAATTTAATCAATCACCTTCGTTTTAAATCAGTAACCTAGCTAATATAAAATATATATTTTTAAACTAGAATATACAAGTAAGTGCATGCAAATTGACAAACTTATTCAATAGTAATGTATTTACAATATTCCTAAACTTAAAATACATTTTTTTTGATTAAGTCTTCAGGGTTTTATCACAGCCTTTTGGGTCTAAGTTCAGTCTAAAATAGGAATCTAGAGTCTGTTGTAAGTTGATAAAGCTTTTTAAATCTTTCATGTATGACTTTAATGTTGGAACAAGACACTAAATGTGAAGATATATATAATATAAAACATACATAAGTTTAGTATAATACATGCGTAAACTTGTATAAATATATATACCACAAATGCGGAGTCCCAAAAAGGCTACTATAAAACAATAAGTCCTTCAAAAGGACTTAATAATTTTAATACTTTATACCTAAGGACTCCGGGTTCAAAAATTGATTGTTCTACTGATGTATGTAGTCTTGATTCTTTCCTTATTAGTAGCCCTTAAGCCTTATGTTTTAAAGCTGCTGGATACCAAAAACTAAAAAGAAGTAAACTTTTTGTGACTTTCAAATCCAGAGTCCTTATTTGGGATTCCGCATCCATGATATATAGATTAAAATATGAACAATATATACATATAAATTATGAATATTATATACATAAAAATTATGAAAATGGTGTAAATTTAAATTATGAGTATTATATACATAAAAATATAAATGCAATAAGAGCAAAATAAACTATAAAAAAACCTTATAATATCTTTGTACAAATATACAGGATCAAATTGATATAGTTTTTAAAACCATGCAAATTAGTTTGTGTTGCGATTGTTGAAGATGATTGACTTTTAAACTTTAAATGTTGTTTTGATAACAAATCTTCAATGTCTGTCTCAAAGCATTAAAAAAGTACATGCCTTTTTTAGAAAAATTTAAATTAACACTTAAATTTTTCTGAGAAATGACACATTTTAATTATATTTAAATGCATATTTTTGCACATGATGAAATATTGAGTTATATATTATTAAAAAGTATGCTGTTGTAAGGCTTCAGATGCTGACATCAATAGAGCAAGATATTTCAAAAAAATGATCCAGTAGCTTAGAAACATTCATCTTTTTCTTTTTTTTTTTTTTTTAAAAAAAAATTATAAATAACTTTAAAAATTTGAACTTTTTAACAATCACAGAATATTTATTAGTACTTTAAAGAGCACAATTTAGTTATTTATTTTTCCCAGGAAGAGGGAGGATAAAAAACTCAATTATCTCTTTATTTCAAGTCTTTTTTTTTTTAATTATACATACTACATTTTGTTTGATTGTGCGATAACAAAATTTTCACTACGATGAAATTATAGTTGCTGCAATTATCGTAATTTTTACTTTTAGGACAAGTCTAAAAACTAATTTATAATTTAAAAGCTTGGTAAAATAATTGTGTTTTCCATGAATTTCTAGAATTAAAAAATAGAAAAAGCAAAAAGTAAAGTATTAGTAAATTTCATTGGTTTAAGAGTGGATTTGATTAGGGATTGTCCATAGATTATGCAATGCTAAATTTCACTAATAAACAAAACATAAGAGATCAAAGGTTTTTTCTTGCAGAGCCTTAAGTTAAATAAAAAATGACAACTGTCATGTAAAAGAATTAAATAATATCTACTTCTTTTTTTAAAATAAATGTTGCGTTGCAAAATATATAGACAATCCCTAACTGAATGTTTAAACACTTATGTAATCAACTTTAAAAAAGATATGAAATATATTACAAGAATAACAACATTTTTCTTTTTCATCAGCTACTCTTACTATTATCTACTTCATCAGCTACTCAGCTACAAAGCTACTCTCACAACTTTCAGAACTATATAACTAAAGAAAAAAGTCAAGTTGCTTTAACATTTGAAACTTAATTGAGCTTGCACACCCTGCACATTTGTTTGAAATTAATTCAGCTGTCAGTATTATATTTGAGAAACTTTCATTATTTTAAACTAACTTTATTAGATAGTTTTAATTAAACTTGTCAAATATATTGACTTTAGTAATATTTAAGCTAAACTATTGTAAATACAGTATAACAATTTAATCTATTTTAATTGTATAATAAGCATCATTATCATTTGAAGAAACAAAAGATAATAATGTTGAAGTATGATTAAAAGTTTTCATCAGACGTAAATAAAAAAAAAGAAAATGACTAAATTTTTAATTAAAAATTACTGGTAAATTAATAATAAGTTCTGCATCTAAACTTTGTCAATAGAAAACAGCTTTAAAACAGCCATCTTTAGTTAAAGTCTAGATTAAATTTTCTCTCTATTTCTCTCAGCCATCTCTAGTTAAGTCTAGATTAAATTTTGTCTAGAGTAAAAAGGACAAAATCTAATCTAGATACAATTTTTATAAATAAAATCTTTTAATATTGTAAAACAAAAAGAATACTAAACAGTCATATACTTAAGAAATTATAACTTTTATGTAAACTAAAATATATAAAATTGTAACTTTTATGTCAACTTAAAATTGACTTAAACCACTCTGATTCTAACCATTATATTATTAATAATATTATTATAAGCATATAGTATATTATTAATAATATTATTATAAGCATATAGAATATTATTATTAATATTATTATAAGCATATAGTATATTATTAATAATATTATTATAAGCATATGGAATGTTATTATTAGTATTATTACAAGCATATAGTATAATATTAAAAATATCATTATTAGCTGGTAAAATTCGTAATGTTTTCGATAAAATTTTAAGTAGAAGTTGACTTACATCGCTTAGATTCTAGCTAGCTAGAATCTAGGTGGTGATTTTAGATGATTCTAGATAGCTAGCTATCTAGAATCAGAGCGGTTTAAATAAACTGTTACTCAATTATTGTTTAGAAATCGATATAAATCACTTTGATTCAAGCTAGCTGATACCCTTTAGGTATATCACAAATTGGTTTGTAAAATTGGATAAACTTCAAAATTGAATGTACTTAAAAAAATATATACACTTTTAAGTTAAGTGCTTTTTTCATCATAAATTTGTAAAAATTAAACAATCTTACAAATTTAAACACATGTGTAATTATGCAGACTTTTTTTTTTTTTTTTTTTTTTTTTTTTTAACATCTTCGCTTCCAACAAGGCTGCAAGCAACCACTAATTAGTGTTGGAAGTTACTGGAAGAAAAAAGATGAAGATTGTAGAGCAAGATAACGACTGACAGACGACTTAAAAGATTGCAAATTATATGAATCAGGAAAGCAAGATGAAGGAAGCAACTACTACGGAGTTGCAATAGCGAACAAAAAAGTTGCAATAACGAACAAGAGATGCTTTACCGAACAAGCGCGTTGCGATACAGAACATTTTAGTTGCATTACCGTTGCATTACCACACATCCACATGATCATCATCATCATCATTATCATCATCATCATCATCAACATCATCATCATCATCATCATTTTTATTGTTATAAAAAGTGTCGTACATTTTTTGACATAGCAAATAATATAAGTGTTATATTCAAATTTTTTTAGGTACAAAGATAACCTCGTTGCACTTTCAACCCGGTCAACATGTAGTTGTTCAAGGAATTAGGTTAAAATTAATAAACTCTATTTACTAGTTCTTTAGTTTCATTTATTTTAATTCATTTAATCTCATAAAAAGAGATTACATTACAATTTATAATTGATTATGAATAGAATTTATTTTTTTATTTTTTATGTTTATAGTATTGACAAAGGATTTCAAGGTGTAATGAGAAGATGGGGAATGAAAGGGCAACCTCAGTCACATGGTCAAACATTAACGCACAGGAAAATGGGAGGAACTGGTGGTGGTCAGGTAAGTCAAAATAGTTTTTTTTTACAAACCCTTAATTTGTGTCTTGTTTCTGACCTTGGCTTATGTTCAGTTTGTCTTTGTTCTCTTTTAGGTGGTTCAAACCATGCAACAATCTCTCTAAATCTATTATTTTGTAATTTTTTTAAATACTTTACCTTTATTGCTCTACTTGCATCTGAGCTGAATAGGATTCATTTCATGGCTTTTTTTGTGACAGTCCTTGGGTTGATGTCTTTTGTCATTCCATTCTCTACCTCTCCAAATTGTTCTTGTATGGAATACTGTCATATTTTGTCTGGTTCTTCTTATGATTCTCTTTCTTTTCCAGACAAGGTTCAGAAAAGGATTGTTAATTTAGTTTGACCTGTTGCATCTGCTTGTCCCATTTTTATAAGGTTCTCTTTATCTTTCTCTTTTTGTTTTTGCTTTCTTCTACAAATACCACTGTGATTGTTACTCTAACAAATCTCTATCTCTATGGTTATCTTCAACCAAAACTAATTTTTGTGTAACTTATCATTCAGCAGAGTAACATTCCTTAATTGTATATGTCCCTTTATGTCCTGAAAACTTTTTAAAGAATAAAATTTCTTTCCTCACACATCAATGATTTGAAACTCTTGCTTATCTTCATGTTTTTCTAAATCATTTCTAACTAAAAGTCTTCTGTCAACCATTTTCTTGTTCTTTAACAATATTCTCTTTTTCTCGTACTTAATTCTGGTTGCTTGCAGGCTTTTTGGGAGCAAATTTAAATTAAAAAATAAAGTGGCATGACAAATTATATTCTATAATATTTACTTACAGGATCCTGGTCGCATATTTCCTGGTAAGCATATGGCTGGTCATGTTGGAAGAGATTATGCTACAGTTGGACCACTTAGGGTAAATTTCTTATTACAGTTGAATTGTCCCTTTTTTTAAATTGAATTTTGTTTTATATGCATTAAGTTTTTCCAAGAGTCCTGTAAAACATCAATTCCAATAATATTTAATATGAGACCATTTCAAAATTAGCATCTTTTAATTTGCTATACATAATTGAGTTAATGTAATAAATGATTATAATTTTTATCATATTTTTTATAAGCAATTACAATAAATACTACTGAAAAATAATTTTATGCTAGAAATTAATTTATGCTAATTTATACTATTAAACTAGATTAGTATTTATACAAAAATTTAGTTTTTGAACTTATTATTAAATAAAGGTATAAAGTGCCTATAAACTTTAAAGATACACAATTGACTATATGTCAGTTGTGTATCTTAAAAGTTTACAGGCACTCTATACCTTTATTTAATGATAAGTTCAAAAACTAAATTTTTGTATAAATACGAATCTAGTGTTAGTTGAAAAGACCTGGTTATTCTGTCATTTTGATTTGTCTACTTTTGTTTTATTTGAATTCCTAAGAAAACTCTTAACTATTTATAATTGTGATCAGTTATAATTTTTATTTCAGTTTTATTTCTTAATTATTTATAACTACTCTCATTAAAGTTATGCAAGTAAATTTTTTTTTAAAAAAAGTAACTATAAATAAATACACAAATTTTCTTTGTCCGGATATTTCCGGAATTCCGGATATTTTTCTCAACTTTTCATTTTTCTCAACTTTTCATTTTTCCGGATATCAAAAATGTTTTCCATGCATACAAGTAGAGTTTCCAAAATACCCGAAGATTATAATACCGTTTTTCGTTATTCTAAATAGTCCAATACTGGTATAAACCGGTATTGCACGATATTTATAAAAAACATTAAAAAAATTTAGCCTAATCTTTAAAAAAACTTTTTGAAAAGAAAAAATAAAATAGAAAAATAAAATTTACACTTTTTTCTATTTTATTTTATTTTAGTTTTTTTAATATCTAAAAATTAAATGTATTATTTAAAATATTAAAAATATTTTACCAAGCAGTTATAACTCAATAATTAAACGTTCCAAAAAATAGTTTTTAAAAATATTAATGCATTTAATTTATCAAAATTTATTGGGCTTTGAAGCTTAGTTGAAAAGTTACCAGCAACAAAAAAAGTTCTTTCGCTGGTTGTTGATGTGGGCAATATTGTTTTATGAGCAGTATCAATCTTATTTAAATTTGATGATCAAACTCCACTTGCTTCAAACAGCTTAAACTCCCTTAATATCTCTGAAAATGGATCAGAACAACTAATCTTGGGTTAGATAGAAACCATCTTTGTTAGGAATTGTTGTAACTGTGTTTTAGGGTTATTATTGGCTTCTTCAGCAACTTCGTCCGATGGTTTGACATTGACAAAGAGTTCCACTGAGTTTTAATGTCAAGTTTTAGCATCAGTTTTTTATTTTCTTGTTCGGAAACATGCTTTTGCAATATGCAGCTATGAACGCTTGACAATTTAAAAAATTTAATCAATTTACTTGAAACATTCAATACAGACTTGATGTCATCTCAAAATATTCTCTTCATTCTCAAAATATTGTTTCCATGGGAAGTTTTCTCTGTGATATCGTTTAAAATGTTGCTGCGATTCAATCTTGTTAGATAATCATTGTCATTATAATCAGAATCTTAATCATTTTCTTTGTCCAAAGAATGATTTTAAAGAAGTTCTTTGGAATTGTTTGTATTATCATACTCATCAGCATCTTCTTCACTTGATGCGTCACTCGAACGTGTTTGGTTGTCGCTAGTATGAAAAAAAAAATGGTTATGGCCAGATGAATACCAAGATTGTATCAGAGTTGTTTCTCTATAAGAATTATTCGTCCATATTTTTGCATTACTGCAACACCATTGTGAGTATATATGTACATAAAATCTAACCCAAATTCTGTCAATTTTATTTTCACTAATTCTTTGGTTGTGAAAGCATTACAGGAACCATCAATTTTAACAAAACCCAATTAATAAGCAACTTTATTGTGAAGAGTTACATTTATATACCTTTTAATGGAGATCTCAGTCCATTCATCAACTGGTATGCTGAACTTTTCACCACATTTTTCAAAACAGAAATTTCATCACACAGCTCTTTTTTTTTATCTCGTAAAACAACATTATTAGTTTTGTGACTGTGTTTTGATTTTTTGGCATTTGGAAACCATGTTTCTGAATAAACTCATTTATTGCATCGTATTTTGTATTTGTTTTTAAAGACATGCCATCCTTTGCAGCACAGTTCGCTAGCTATTCAGCCAAGATTTCACGTTTAGAGTTTCCATCAACTTTTATTTGTTTATTCAGAACTTCTGCAGCAGGTGTTTCATTTAACTCTTTATTTTGTTAATATTATACTATGGATAATTCTCATGCGGGGAATCAGATATAATCAGGTGGGTAATCAGACCAGATGTGCTCGAACCTTCGCATTTTATAAAAGAATTACACAGTGTACATTTTGCTTCACTAGCTGAATCGTATGATTTTGTAAAACAGAAGAGCTCTGCTTTTTTTTTTTTGTTTTTTTTTTTTTATTCGTTAGATATATAAAGTAAAGTAAAAAAAATATAACGCAAATAAAATTACATCACTTTTACTTTTATTACTTACTAGTATATTATTTTTTAATATAAGTAGATATATTAAATATTATTATTAAATGTATAATTTTTATAATACCAAACTATTTGTTGTTTCTTATATATAAACTATTATTATAAAAACATAAAATAACCTACAGCTATTACATACCTTTATTCATGAACTTCTTCATGCAGAAATAATGTTCGAGGGATTTGTAATGTTGCAATCGATAATGGAACCAAATATTTTACAAAGTGTTTATATATGAGAATATAAATAGTAAACCTGCTAAGCCAAAGGCAATAAACAACCGAAAGTTGGAAGTAAACTTAAGTTTATACCTGAAAAATATAAATATATATAAACACTGGCATAGAGACATTTTGCAGAGGGAGCATTGTTCTTTCCCTCAAAACTAACTCAAAGTTTTAGTTTTTTATATTTAAATTTTACCTGCATTAGACCCCCTTAATTTCTGTTACAGCCCCCCCCCTCCTCCCATCCTAACTTAACCTTTCTAGGTGTCACTATATATATATCAACTTAATTTCTCCGCGCAGCGGCCTTGGTTCGTGTTTCGGAGTTAAAGAGTTGAGAGAGGGTTGTACCACAATTTACAACAACAACAACAACAAAAAAAAATGAGTAGCCTCCTCAACTGTAGTGGCCCCCTTGGGCCTTGAAGAGGTGAATAATTAAAATAAAAAAATATATATATATTTATATATATATAAATATATATATATATATTTATATATATATATATATATATATATATTTATATATATATATATATATATATATATATATATATATATATATATATATATATATATATATATATATATATATATATATATATATATACATATATATATATATATATATATATATATATATATATATATATATATATATATATATATATATATATATATATATATATATATATATTATATCATTTTTATATACAGTACTAGACAAAAGTCTGAGACCAAGGGTTGAAAAAGACTAAAAACTGATTTTAACCATAAAATTTTATTCAATGAACAAGCATGTCAATTTTTTCCAATATAATTCATATTACTAGGAATATGTACAACATACTTTGTGAAATAAAACACAAAATGTCCATGTCATGTCAGTATTTTATGGGCATTCCTTTAGCCGCTAACACAGCAGTACTTCTCCTGGGCATAGAATTGATCAAATTTTCACTATAAGCAGGAGTGATTTCATTGGACCAAACCAACATTATCTTTTTTTTTAAATCATCATATGATGATGGCTTTAAAGCGGCTACCTTTTTCTTTAACAGATGCCAGCAATTCTCTATTGGATTTAAGTCAGGCGAGTATCCCGGCCAAGGAGAAAGTACCTGAATATTTTTCTCAGCAAGCCATTAAGTAATCACCTTTATCCAGTGACATAATGCACCATCATGCTGGAAGATTGTGCAACCAGAAAGAGGCAGCCACTGAAGCAAATTGTTTTTCAAAATTTTCAGATATTCATTGGCATTAATGGTTGTTTTAGGAGGCATGAACCAAATACCTGCTTGTCCTCTGGTTGAAATTGAAGCCCAGACCATGATTGATTGGCACTGTTTAACATTGCATTTGGTGTACTTGAGATTCAGTCGCTGATTAACAGGTCTATAAACAAAAGAATGAAGAGGAGCAAACTGTTTTATTTGACTTTTATCTGAAAACATTAGTCGCGCCCAATCCAATGCTGTCCAGTCTTAGTGCTTTTGACAAAAGGCAATCCGATCCTTGATGTTCTTGGTAGAAAGCCTAGGTTTAATGGAAAGACGCCGGGCATGCAGGTTGAAATCAGAGGATAGTCTTCGTCTGATAGTTCTGGAGGAAACAGTAACAGAGGATGGCAAGTTGTGTTGTATTACTGTGGATGATGACATTGGAGAATTAGTACAAGTGCGATGAATCAAGCGGTCAGTCTATATAGAGGTACATTTTGGTCTACCAGATCTTTTTCGGGAAGTTAAGCTGCCAGTCTGCTGCAACCGAGTTATTGTGTTATGAACTGCAGTTTTAGAAACAGACAAACGTTCAGCATTGCTTCTCTCGGTGTATCCCTCCTCTTTTAAAATACTGATCTGTGCTCGAACTGATATTTGTAACTCACACATTTCAGTGAAAGAAAATTAATGCTAAAATCAAAAATGAGAATTTGAAGCACAAACAGCAAATGCCAGATTCATTAAACAATAACTATATAAATATGCAATACAGTATGTATGTATGTAATGCATGTATCCTAGGACACTTTCATGTTTATTATCTGCTATAAACTATTACGTAATCTATAATTTGCCATCATGCAGTAATAAACTAACGCAAATATCAACGTAAAACCGAATAATATAGTGCATGGTTCATATAAAGTTCAAAGAAGTTATGCGTGCAACATACTACATATATGACAATTGTATTACTCATCAGTTTTCCTCACATCATCAGTGATGCTGACAATAAATTGTTGTGTTCTGAATTATGTTGAATTACTAATATGAATTATATTGGAAAAATTGATATGGTTGTTCATTGAATCAAATTTTATGGTTAAAATCAGTTTTTAGTCTTTTTCAACCCTTGGTCTCAGACTTTTGTCCAGTACTGTATATATATAAAAATGATAGATGTTTTGGTGACTGTAATTTTTTATTTGAAAGACTTTAAACGATGTTTAATTAGTGAAAGCTTTAAAAGAAACTAGTATATGTATACTATATAAACTAATTTAGTATCTGCACAAAAGCATAAAAAAACACCTACTAAGGTGGAAAAGAGATCAAAGTTGTGATTCATGTGATTGTGCTGCGCACTTCAACTGTGTTTCTGATGAGCATAAAAAGCATACGAATATTAAAAAAGTCATTAAAAGAAATAACTTTACTTTTATGTGTCAAGAATGCAATGAAAAAAAATAATTTAATTTCTTTAAGTCTTTGTTTAATTGTTTAAATAAAAAAAAAAAAAAAAAAAAAATGAGTAGCCTCTTCGACTGTAGTGGCATCCTCGGGCCTTGGGTAGGTGAATAATTAAAAAAAAAAAAATTCTCTTCAATTTTAAGAAAAATTGAGATTTTTGTTTGTAAAATACTGTTTTTTCTATATGTATTTATTTAATTTATATTACATTTTTGTGGTTGTATTAAAAAAGAATGTAAAAAGTTTTTTTTTTTTGTTTGTTTATGTTCTCTAGATCTGAATTAAAATTTGTGCCAATAATTAAAAAATAAATAATTCAAGTCACATTTGCCAATAATTTGATAGTAATAACAATAACTTGATAGTACAAACAACTTCTATTGTTAAAATAAACAAAAATTTTTGTAATAAATTGGTTTAGGTGTATCACAAGGTGCCATTAACTGCGACAGCACCATACTGTATTTAAAGGGAGTTAGTAGTATGTTGATAAAAATAAAAGAATTTTAAAAATAAGATAATTATTATTATTAAGACATACAAGGTTTATAAAAATACAAGATAAAATAAAAAATAAATTGAATATAAAATTTGTTTGAGGTGGCAAGTTAGCTATTGTTCTCTCTTTTTTTTACTTTTAGATTTTACGAATTAATACCAAGTTTAATGTTTTGTATATACGAGGTGGAATCCCTGGAGAAATTGGTGGTTTTTTAAAAATCAAGGATTCTCCATACAACAAATTTCCAAAAGATCCAGTGTTTCCAACTCATTTTGATGATTCTCTACCATTAGATGAAGATTTATATGCAGAAGATGTTTTTTCCGATATGCAAAGTTCTCTTACATTTCCTTCAAATGTTTGAAACTATTGCTTTGAATATTGCATTTTTGTTACAGAATGTTTGAAACCAATATTTTTAAAATAAAATTTATGTTGTTTTTGTTAATACGTATAAAAATTTACACATTTTGATCAAGGTTACATCTTCAATCAGTGTACACCAATTTTACCCTGTTTCTGCTTTAATTGATACACCTATTTTATTGTTAGTTTTTCTCTAGCAGGTCTGCTCAGCATTGCATATGTTTTTTTAAATCTTTTGTTTTGTGTGTAATGCCAATAATTTTAAAATAAAAACATAAATTATTACCTAATATATATATATATATATATATATATATATATATATATATATATATATATATATATATATATATATATATATATATATATATATATATATATAAACGATTTTAAAGTTTATTCTACAAAAAAGAGTGCTCAATGAGCAATTATAAATTAGTAGAAAATCACTTAACAATTTTTTTTGGAGCTTAAGGAAAGAATGAATAATCACTACTAATTTATATTAGTTATTATATATATATATATATATATATATATATATATATATATATATATATATATATATATATATATATATATATATATATATATATATATATATATATATATATATATATATATATATATATATAGTAGAAAATCACCTAGCAAAAATATTTTTTACATTTAACAGTTTCATCAATAGAGACTCATCAGAAATGAATGATTAAATTAATAAAACTTTAATTTTTACCAATAATTAAATTACAGGAAGTCACAAATGTCTTAACTATTGTAAGTTTTCACTTACATTTTCACTCTTCATGGTGTCTTTTGAATACTTTTTATTTTTAAAGGATTGTTTATGGTTGGCAAAACGTTTTTTTCATTCACCTTCTGTTATGCCAATATGTTTATCAGGTACATTTTTAGGAGAAACAACACATTTATATACCACATTTTTTAATGAATAACTTCTACTCATTGGACAATTGTTTTTTTGTTTACAATTACAATTTTCTGTAGTTTATTCATTTCTTTTTTGTTTAACAAAGGATTATTGTGACCTTTTATAATTCTTTTCATATTTTTTGTGCAACCGTAGCTAACTTTAATTGTATTTCAATTAAAAATTTAAATGAAATACAATTAAAGTTAAATGCTTATTGACCAATTTTAAAAACACTTTTCCTATGTTAGTGACAACATTTTTGCTATATTGGGGGGGGGGGGTGATGGGGGTTAAACTAAATTATATTTCTAGTTCTATTTTTTTTTTTTTGTATTCTTTTTTTCAGGGTCAAATTTTAGTTCAAAATTTTTAAAACCACTCTTTTTAAGGGTATCTTCAAATTTCGTTTAGAGGAATCGAATACATTTTTTTTAGAGGGGTTTTGTTTTAGCCTGTTATTAATTGAAATTAGGATTTGTTTTAGAATTTGGGGTGGATGATTTGAATTAATATTAATATACAATAATTCATCATTTGATTTTTTGAAAGGCTTATATGAATTTTTAGAGAGATTAAATGTGACGTCAAGAAAGTTCACAATTTTTAAATTTATGTTTATTTTGATTTGAAAGTCAAAATTTTTATATCTTTTCTAATTTTATCAAGTTGTGGAACAGATTTTTTACGCATTACTATTAAAACATTTTTGTGATGAAGACCAATATCATTTATATTGATTAATTTAATTAAATAAATCTAAAATATATAGTCCAACAAATTAACAAAATTCTGCCCCATCATAATTGACCATTGTTACATCAAAGCAGTCATGTATGTTTTTATTTTTTCAAGTTTCCTTATAAAAATGATGTAAGGTTTTTCTACAATGTTTTTCTACAATGTTTTTCTACAATGTTTTCTACAATCGAAATTGATTTCTAAATGCAGGCACAAAAATAAGTTTCTCCTAAAAAACTATAAAAATAAGTGAGCTCAAATAATAGTTACATTAAATCCCCCCTTTTAAAAAATATTTTATAAAAAAGCAAAAGTAATCAATTCTAAAGAATTCTTTTTATAATAGTCTCAGGATATTCCACAAATCTGTGAAAACATACAGTAGTTAAGACATATGCAACTGTAATTATTTTTTTGGTATAAATTGAAGTTTTATTAATTTGATCATTCATTTCTGATGAGTCTTGAAACACAGTGTTGAATGAAAAAAAAATTTAAGTGATTTTCTACTAATTTATAATATATATATATATATATATATATATATATATATATATATATATATATATATATATATATATATATATATATAAAACCTGCAAAATATGTCTTTTTAAATATTCTTTGCAAAAATGTTATTTGGGTGATAAGGTAAGTGTAATAAATAAATTTTTTGTCAACTGTTTAGTTTTTTGTGACTCTGACTTATTTTTGTACATTAATTTATAATTTTAACTAAAAGTATTTAAACTTTAGTGCCTAAAAATGGGAATAACTGAAGATATATCAAGCAAAAAAAAAATTCTGAAATGTCTGCTTTACTAAAACATGCAAATCACTCTCAAAGAAAAATTGCATATTTTAAAGATAAAAGTCTTGACAGTAAGCAGAATTAAAGGTGAACCTCATAAAAAAATACCTGTATAAAGTGCCAGAAGTGGAAAATGTGGAAGGCAAAACATCACTACCTTGAGAGATGATAATTTGTTACAACTGTGTTTGAAATCGAAGAAAAAGTACAAATGCAGTTAAATCATATGAGAAACTCATATCAAGATTTCTAACAAAATTACAAAGCATCAAATAGCAAAGGTGATGATCAGTTATAAGTGGTATGATCAGTTGATGGTGTGATCAGTTATAAGTGGTAAAGGCAATAGTCTTCTTAATTTAATTTAAGGGATATTGAACCAAGATATATATAAAAAACTATTAGCTACTAAATTATTTCCTCAGTTACATGATTAGTTTCCTGATCCACTCAAAGGAATCTCTATGCATGATTCTGCCCAAATCTTTAAAGCTATATCAGTGGCAAGGTATTTAGAGTCAATGTTTATGCTTTACCATGGCCTGGCAATACTCTCGACTTGAATAGAAAACCTTGGAACTTTCAAAGCAGATAGTTGCATGAAATTATAACCAACAAAAAAATCAGGAGATAAAAGCAAATGTAAAAAATTGTATTTAAAGTATGCCAAGAAGGATACGAGCAGTAATTGATGCAAAAGGCTGCACAACCAAATACTAATAAACATTTTGCATTATGAGTTTTCTTAAATAAATGCGTATATAAGCTAGTAACACCAATATTTATATAAAAATTTAACATATGAATATATAAAAGAGCTTATAATGGTTAATACGAAACTCTTTGCATGTGTAACTAATAATTTTACTCGGCCCCTGTATATATATATATATATATATATATATATATATATATATATATATATATATATATATATATATATATATATATATATATATATATATATATATATATATATATATATATATATCTGAAAATAAGTTTTCATGGCTATTTACAAATAGTATTGAAATACTAATCTCAAGTAAATACCTCAAAAAGTTATTTATATATATATACAGTTAATCTTCGTAATAATAATAATTATATTATTAATAGTAATAATAATAATAGTAACAACAAAAACAATAATAGTAGTAATAAAGTAATTGTAATAATTAAAATAAATTAATATTATCTTCTATACAATAATCATTTATATATACATAGTTACAGTTACAAACTGTAATAAACTGACAAATGTAACAACTAGCGATGACATAAAAATGACTACTGTTAAAAAAATTTATATAGATTTATTTAATACATTAATCATAGTTGTTTTAATATAATAACCAAAATATATTGCATATATAATAACAAATAAATAAAACAGAAAAACACTGTGAAAAACAAAAACAAAAAAAAGTAACAAACGTTACAAACAAATTTACTGCTAAAAAAAGTACAAAACATAATAATATAATCTAGCGAACTTATAAAAATAAATTATTCATAATACATAAAAATAAAAATAAAAACACTTTATAAAACTAACATGATAGAGAAAATCATTAGCAAATGATTTTAATGATTAGCAACAAATAATAAAACTATACACACTACATATACTAAAAAAGATAAAGAAAAGAAAATATTATTACATAACAGCATAATTAATTTAAAATTTAATTTTGTTTACTGTTATTTTCAATACTTTTGTAGTTTATTTTATATTCTTTCAAATAGTTCATTATTTTTTCTTTTTAGATATTTTGTTTTTTCTTTATAATTGATTTTATTTTAGAAAAATTAAAGTAAAATTTCTCCTGATTTATCGATTTTTTTTTTCACTCTTTTTTTTGAATATATATATATATATATATATATATACTCTTGCATGTCTCTTGCGTGGCATCAAAAAAAGTTTCCCATAAACTGTAGTTTTAAAGAGCGCGTTAATAAACCAGACCAGAAAAAGTTTTTATAAATAAATTTTTTTTTTAATTGATAGACTGCCTGGCCAAACCAAACCCTCAGTCGATGTAGCAGCACTCTCTTGCGAGTCAGGCTATTTGTCAGTCGTTGTAGCAGCACTCTCTTGCGAGTCAGGCTATTTGTCAGTCGATGTAGCAGCATTCCCTTGCGAGTCAGGCTATTTGTCAGTCGATGTAGCAGCACTCTCTTGCGAGTCAGGCTATTTGTCAGTCGATGTAGCAGCACTCCGTTGCGAGTCAGGCTATTTGTCAGTCGATGTAGCAGCACTCCGTTGCGAGTCAGGCTATAAGATAGTCGATGTAGCAACATTTACGCATGTTTTAAAAATGTTTTTTATTAAATCAATAACAAAAACACAACTAATTAAAAAAAACTTTCTAGTCGTTATAATTGCGGTTTTTTAAAAATTTTTTAAAAAACAATTAATTTTAATGTACTTCCGCATAAATTAATTGCTTTGACATTTCGATGACAATCAAAAACAGCTTAAGAGACGAGGTAATTAAAATTGTAGTCGTAAGAGACTTTTTTTACATTAAAACGCTCTTTCGACTACACTATAAGGGTATATATATATATATATATATATATATATATATATATATATATATATATATATATATAATATATATATATATATATATATATATATATAAATTAGTAGAAAATCACTTAGCAAAATTTTTAACACTGTGTTTCATTAATAAAGACTCATTAGAAATGCATTTCTAATGAGTCTTTATTGATGAAACACAGTGTTAAATGAAAAAAAATTTTGCTAAGTGATTTTCTACTAATTTGTAATTGCTCTGTTCTTTTAAGAACATTGAGCACTCTTTTTGTAGAATACATTTTAAATTGTTTAAGTATATATATATATATATATATATATATATATATATATATATATATATATATATATATATATATATATATATATATATATATATATATATATATATATATATATATATATATATATATATATATATATATATATATATATATCTGTGTGTGCTCAATGTTTTTTAAAAACAGACAATAGTAATATATGTAAAGTATATACCCATTATCTAAAGAAAATTATACCCGTTTGCTTGCAAATGCTATCACCTCAACATACAAAAAATCAAATACAAAAATAAAAAATCAAATAAAAAAGGTAAACCAATATAAAAAAATCACAACGATTTCAATAAAATCGACATTAATACATCTTCAAATCGTTTTATAAAATTAAAAGATCATAAAGAAAACCTTCCTTTATTAAACCCTGCCAAAAATGAAATTGGCAGAATTAGTAAAGTTATACTTTCCTATATAAACTCTGAACTTGTTAAGAAACTTCATCTCAATCAGTGGAAAAAAAATCCAAGATACCACAAACTTGTTTAATTGCATCAGTGATAAACGTCTCTAAAAATTCCTTATTTATGATATTGTTGATTTTTACCCTTCGATAACAGAAAAACTTCTTAGTAATGCTATTCATTTTGGTGAGCAGCATCTAAACATTGACCCTAACCATAAAAATATATATATATATATATACATATATATATATATATATATATATATATATATATATATATATATATATATATATATATATATATATATATATATATATATATATATATATATATATATATATATATATATATATATATATATATATGTATATATATATATATATAAATATATATATATATATATATGTATATATATATATATATATATATATATATATATATATATATATATATATATATACATATATATATATATATATATATACTTAAAAAAATGCTAATTGATATTGTTATAATATTGATTTCAAAAGTAGGACATTATAAGTGTGATGCACAAAGTAAAAAGTTTATTCTAACTTAGCAAATTGTTTTTCAAAGTCATTTTCTGCTATCATGGTTACCTTAGAGGAGGATGGATAAACCTAGCCATGTCCATTTGAAAACAAATCAGAAATTGTGTTTGACCCTCGTCTTTTGTGAGGGTTTTATTGTATTTCTGAATTAAAGTGATGCCATGCTCTATGTTGTCATTGACTACCTTCATCTTGTTGAGCAATCCTTTGAAGTTTGGGAACAAGCATCCGATTAAAGAATGGTTCTGAACACTTTAAATTTTTCTGTAATTCTGAACCACCCTAAACAAACAGTGTATCGTTATAAAATTTTAAAATTAAATTTTTCTCTTATGTCATTTTTAAAACTAATTTTAAATTAAATCAAAAAACTAATAAATTTTTTGAAACCACAACAAAATACAAAACAATTTAAAAGATTTTAATATAATTACTGCAAAAAAATGGTGTATTTATTTTTTCACATTTGTTTTGTGTACAAGCAAAACTAATTTAAAATGTCAACCTGGTACTCAAAATAAGCGAAATTATATAAAAACTTCAAAAATAATAATCAATTAACATAAAAAACATGTTTAAAAAACTTATTTAATAAAAAACTCAAAAATATTGACTTTTTTAATTTTCATTTTAAAAACAATAGTTTTTATGCAGTTAATTCTAAAAAAAATATTTTGATGTAAATTGATTATTATTTTTGAAGTTTTTATATAATTTTGCTTCTTTTGAGTACAAGGTTGACAGAAAATTGGAATCACCCTAAACAAACACATATGATATATGTATCATGATAAAATTATCTACTATAGCATGTTAAGGTAAGTATATGCTTACTTGTTTTGCACATTTTTATAGCATACAGTTTTTTCAGATAAAAATGGAAAAAATTAATAATAATGACAGATTGCTGCCCTATGCCAAACCCTTAGTTGCAGTAGTGGCACTACTTTTTTGGCAGCAGACTATAAGATTGCTGATGTTTATAATGAAGCCTCCAGCAGCAGGCTTTTTTAGTGATGATGATATCAGACATGTTATCTAAACACTTATTTATTCTTATGTATATATATATATATATATATATATATATATATATATATATATATATATACATATATATATATATATATATATATATATATATATATATATATATATATATATATATATATGTATATATATATATATACATATATATATATATATATATATATATATATATATATATATATATATATATATATATATATATATATATATATATATATATATATATATATATATATATATATATATATATATATATTTATGTGTGTGTTTTTTGTTTGTTGTTCAACTCTAAGAAGGCCACTAGAGATAAGGAGGCTACTTAATAGCAGAGAAACAAGTTAAGCGCGGTACTACCAAGGATGTGGTGGGGATCGAACTTGGAACCTCTTGCATATGAAGCAAGCGCTTTACCACTCCACCACTACCACATCTGTATGTATGTATGTATGTATGTATGTATGTATGTATGTATGTATGTATGTATGTATGTATATACCGCATATCTGTATGTATGAATGTAGTTATATATGTATGTATATGTAGATAAAAATTTGATCTTTTTTTTAGTAAGTATGAAAATAATTATTACCTTGTTAATTGTGAGGTTGCTGCCTTCAGGTTAGTGCATACTTTAGCAGCATTTTAAAATATTTTTGTTGTTGTTGTTTTTAAACAATTTCATGTATTTAAGTAGTAGTATGCCTCAATATATTAAGTAGTATTACTCAATAAATTGAAATAAATTTTCTTTTTATTGATATATCAGTATAATATAATACTATCAAGTCTTTAATACAATGAATAATACAATGGGTAGATTTTAGGCCAGATCTAATAAGACAAGGGAGGGTTAATAAAAGGGAGAGGGCAGTGGTAATTTTTTAATGTTACAATATAAATTTTAAAAAAGTTCAGTTTATAAATCCAAACTACTATTTTTTATAAAACATGCTTAAAACTATTTAATTCTAACGTGGATTACAGTCAAATGCGCATTTTCAATTAATTGTTTTAGCATAATTTCAATAGGATTTAACATGCTGATATTAGTTTCATACTTAAAAATACATAGTGAGAAATAAACCAAAAGTTTTTTTTCGGGATTGATATTTACTAGGTTGACAATTTTTAAAACCTGTTTACACTGAAAGTTTACATTTGTTTTTATCAGTGGCTGAAAGAATTATTTTCTAATTTTGAAGGCCAATTTTTACTAATTTTTTAGTTTTTAGTTTGAGGTATAAAGTTTTTGCTGACAACAAGTAAAAATTAATAAGCAGGGGGGGGGGAGGTTGTCCTTATAATCTTGGGGTGGGTGAAAAAATTTTCCAAAAATTAATAAACTTTGTTATGGTTTTCTTGAGTAAGAATTTAATGTTTATTATTATTATTATAATTATTAGTATTATTATATTATTATTAATTATATAATGTTGTATTTATTATTATTATTATTATTTTTATTATTATTATTGTTATTTATTTTTAGAATTTATATCTGTTTATTTTTTATTATAGTTTGTTTGCTCCTGTAAATTTAAAAAAAAAGTTTTTCTTATATAATTCTCTATTTTCTTAAATGTTTTATCATAAATATTTTTATATCATCAAATTATTTTATTACATAGCGCTAGGATTAAATTGTTACATTGAGATGTGTATAAATAATCAAACATGTTATTCACCAACTGCAACTTCAATGAATAAAGTTTGTTCTGAGAATCAAATTTGCTTTGTTAATGCAATTTATACACGTATAAACAATTCCAGTATGTTTTCTACTATTCCTGGAGTAGTTGAACGAAAATGTTATGTAGATGAAGGGGTATGTAGTTTGAAAGACATAAAGTATGGACCATGTATAAAGTCTGATCATGATATACGATGTTATCAATGCTGTACATCTGACCTCTGCAATAAAATGCTTCCAACTTTTAACGGATCAAACAACATAAAGTTCTCTATTTTTCCTTTTGTTTTTTGTTTTGTAAACATGATGTTTTAATGTTTTAAACTTATTTTTTGTCTTAAAGATGTTAATAAAACATTGTGTCAATACAAGAAATTTTTAAATTTTACTCTTGTTAAACCTTTTTGTTTTTATTTTTGAAAACTATATTTGTTAAATTATATATATTTTTTAAACTAATGTATTTATACTTCATTAAAGAAAAATATTGATTAAATTTAGATGTAAAAGTTTCTGTGTATAGTTTAATTTTCTTAAAACATTCAAAGTCTTTTAAACAGAAAAAATTCTTAATCATATTTGATCAAAAATGTCCGAATTAATAAAAATTTTGTTTTGTCATATAATGTTATAATTTTTAAATTTATGTCCTAAATTATAATAAATCATTGGAAGTTAAAACTCCCAAAGACATAAATAGTTTTGGTGTACAATATAGTTTTAAAATAAATAGTGAAATAAATAGTTTTGGTATACAATATAGTTTTGTAGTTTGGATTGTGTGCTACTGATATAGTTTGATACTGTTTACCTACTGTTCATGTAAAGATGGTTTGGTATGATATGTATTTTTTCAATAAGAAATTTTAGAATTTTTTCAAGTTAACATCTTTTTCTGCTGATTTTTTACATGTATGTAATTATAATATTATTAGATATATCTAAATTTTATGCAAGATATATTAGATTCATTTATTCAAATTATTGATAAGTGTTACAATATATTTACATTACGATATAATTATTGTGTTGCTCTTTATGTTATGACTTTCTTCTAAATTCTCATTATTTTATATTTTTAAATAGTTTTTCTAGACAAAATCTTCTCAAAATTGCTAAAATTGCTTGAGTCTCTTTAAAATACTTGTTTTTTCCCAGTTATTATATATATATATATATATATATATATATATATATATATATATATATATATATATATATATATATATATATATATATATATATATATATAATAACTGGGAAAAAACAAGTATTTTAAAGAGACTCAAGCAATTTTAGCAATTTTGAGAAGATTTTGTCTAGAAAAACTATTTAAAAATATAAAATAATGAGAATTTAGAAGAAAGTCATATATATATATATATATATATATATATATATATATATATATATATATATATATATATATATATATATATATATATATATATATTTATTTATTAGGGGTAATCATTTTGAGGGAATTTTTGAAAACGAAGTCCAACCACAGTTGGAGCAAATATGCTAAAAAGATTTTTTGGTCATTTGGGTGACTTTTAAGTCTCCCTCAAGACTATAGTTGTTAAGAAATTATACTTCAATAAAAAAAGGGTCATCATGCCATCATGTTTTTTACATATTCTTGGTTAAAACGATATTTACGAAGGAAAAAAATGGAAATTTTATTTTACGCAAGAGGTTACGAAAATCAGCAACGATCAAAAAATTCTTATAAAATAATGCAGAAGAAAATGTGCTGAAGATCCTGCACTGTATTTTTAAGTCATTAAGAGTTTTTATTAACAAGTTGTACGTGAAATTGTGTTACATTATTTTCTTTTTGTGAATAACTTTCGTATTTACTTGATTGTTGTTAATCAAATTACAATATAAAGTAAAATTGTATTGAGGTGTTTAACTAATTACAGACCATTAAATCTATTTAGATTAAATACAAAAATGGAAAAAAAATTGTAAAAGATATTGGGAAGAGGAAGTTTCTCAAATCAAGCAAAAGCTAACTTTTTATCACAATGAGGCTAAACCAGCTATTACATGTACATATCTAATTTTAAAAAATTGTTTTGAATTTTAAATTTTTTGTTAAAAATTAAATTATTGAATTTTTTTTTTCTTAAGGACTTTAACTCCCTACTGAAATGGATATTCTTCAACACATTGCCTTCAGAAGATCATTACTTCCTTATAATGTTAGGAAGTCAGCAATTTTATTTTGCCCTCCTAACAAGATTCAAGAGGGTTACAAGAGATGTGAAGTAGATGAATGTGACTGCATAAGAATATTTTTAGAAATTAAAAGCATTTTTTATGGAAATGTATTTACAGCAAATAATATATCCCCCAATGTCTTACAAAGAGTAGCTGAAGCAATTCTTAAAGATTGTGGAGTTGATATTGCAAAATGCAAAGTCAGTGCTTCAACAGCATTAAGGAAGATAAAAAAAACTGCCAAGGATACTGCAGAAATTGCTAAATTAGATATAAAGAAGGCCTTGGAAAAAAGCTGTTATTCGTGTATAATTCATTTTGATGGAAAGACTTTGTTTGAAATGAATCAGTAAAATAGACTGAAGAATGACAGATTAGCTGTCTTCGTTAAAATCGAGGGGGTGTCTCATCTTCTTGGAGTATCTGCCTTGCCAACTTCTTTAGGTGAAGATATTTATATAGGAATCATGAAAATACTAGAAGAGTATGACCTCGTTTCAAAAGTATGCAGAGTATGCTTTGATACTACTTCAAGTAATACTGGTTCTAAGGAAGGATCACTTATTAGGTTTAGAAGAGAGGTAGACAAATACCTTCTTCTACTAGCATGTAGACATCATATCATTGAGCTTAGAATGGTTCATTTCTGTGAAGCAGTGATAAAAGAGAATAGCGTAGGGCCTGAAAATCCATTATTCGTAAAGTTCAAGCATATGTTTGAGAACCCTAAATTCAAATAAGACAAAAATAACCTGACCTTTTTTGATTACTTCATAATGCTAGGTTTTTAGGCAAGAGTTTATACTATCTTAAACTTCAGCTTTTGTGAAAGCAACTAATATTTGTGAAAGAAAACAATAATCCACGCAAAGATTTAAAACTCGTCTGCTTCCACCCCAATATTGGCACATCCAGTCCTCGTTTAAGAATTTTGAAAACTTTGTCAAAATGTTAATTGTTGCCAATGATCATTCTAAACGAGCAATCGGAATGATGCAGCAGTTTGTGCAAAAATACGAAAATTAAGATGGCAAGCAAAACAGACTTTTAATTGCCGACAAAGTAAGGTCAACTTTCAAGGTTTTTGGTGTGGGAAAAAGTGATTGTACAAAAAAAAAAGAAAGCCTGAAGTCAATCTCTAAACTAAAGAAAAAGAAATTGTTATTCATTTTAAAATACTTATTGTTTGTAAAGATTTTTATTAAACAACCCTCGAAATTAGAGTCGGTATTCGGCAATGCTGACCTAACTGCCGACCTAAACGTATTTGCGGTCGGCAAAAAAAATTTGGTTTTGCCGACCTCGTTTCGATGTTTTATGGTAAGACCTTTGTATTAGCCGACCTTATGCCGACCTCTAAAAGATTGAGATTGGCAAATTATTGCTGACCTCAATTTTCCTAATTCCGAAGGTTGATTAAATGGTAAATTAGCCGGAAAATTCCCCCTTAAATCAACCAAAAAAGCAAAATAGTTTGTTTTTTGGTTGATTTAAGGGCGAATTTTTCCGGCTGTCCATCTGAATGAACTTTAAGTATGAAAATACATAATTTGCTGATTTCATAACAGCTTGTGTAACTTAATATTTTCATTTTTTGATTTCTTAAATATCGTTTTAACCGAAAATATGTAAAAAACATGATGACATACCCTATGGACATATATTTAAATCCCTGTCAAACACTCTAAGCACACCCTATTTTTTCCTTTTTTGAAGTACAATTTCTTAACAACTATAGTCTTAGGACTTAAAAGTCACCCGATTGACCTAAAAAAAATTATGACAAAGTTTTAGCATATTTGCTCCAACTTTAACTGTATATGTACTTCGTTTTAAAAAATTCCCTCAAAATGACTACCCCTAACATACATATACACACACACATGCACACACACACACAAATATATATATATATATATATATATATATATATATATATATATATATATATATATATATATATATATATATATATACATACATACACACACACACACAAATATATATATATATATATATATATATATATATATATATATATATATATATATATATATATATATGTATATATATATATATATATATATATATATATATATATATATATATATATATATATATATATATATATATATATATATATATAAAGACAGACACACACTAAACTCGTTTTTTTTCTATAAATAAAATAAAAATGAGTTTAAATTAAATTCTGAGAAATTTTAAATGATTTTTTTTCAATAATAAACGTAATGATTTTCATATTTTATTAATAGGAATCTTGTCTTAATAAAATGAAATCAATTTTTGGTACCGTTATCTTGCTATGTAAGTAATATGAATTTATATTTATTTTGGTTTTTTAAAGCTGATTTATCTTTTTCGACGGGTGATAAACCTGCGAAGATGTTAGTTTTATGTCTGTAAGTTTTTGAGTAGGTTTAACCTCTTTAATTTGTTAACATGACGCACTGTGTTGAAAACGTCAAACGCGTTAGTTATGCCTAATATCGCGCTACTACAAATAGTTCTTATTTTAATAAATAAAAAACGTTCTAAAAACAATTATGCTCTTTTTCACATTTAGTTTCCATAACTTTTGAAACTTCATGAGTTTGTATATTTTTGACTTTATTTATATTTGATTTTGCTGCTTTAAATTTTTTTTTCTCAGGTCTTTGTGTACAGAATGTTTTTACACTGATTTGTTATACAGAATATCCTAGCAAAACAGAAGTTTGTGAATCTAACCATAAATGTCAAGTGCATTTGTTATATGAACGGAAAAGCATTAACGAATCTTTTGGTTCTCCAAATATTATACGGAAGTGTGCTCGTGAGGAAGAATGTCAAATTTCTAATATGGATAAGGATAACTGTATTCCAAGTTCTATGGAAAAGAATTGCATTACTTGTTGCAATCAAGATAAATGCAATACCCAATATACTGTGAGCGGCGATAAAATTGTCTCATCATCCAAGGTCATAATTTCGCTTACTTTTCTTGTTTATTATGTGTTCCAAACACTTTAAACGCATTTTTGTTATATTTACAGTTTTAAAAATGATTGAACTAGTATAAATGAACATGGGTATATTTAAAACAATTATGAAAATACTGACAATTTATAAATATATAATATGTATAAATATATAATATAAATAAATATGTAATATATATATATATATTTATAAATATATAATATAAATAAATATGTAATATATATATATATATATATATATATATATATATATATATATATATATATATATATATATATATATATATATATGTATATGTGTATATGTATATATGTATATGTATACATATATATATATATATATATATATATATATATATATATATATATATATATATATATATATATATATATATATATATATATATACATATATATATATATATATATATATATATATATACATATAAATATACATATACATACATATATGTAATTGATTGTAATTGATTTGTAATTGATTGTAATTAAAAATATGTAATTGAAAATGGCTAATTCGATCATCAGATTTGAATCCATTGTTATTAGGGGTCGTCCATGAAGTACGTACGCTCATAGGGGGGATGGGGGGTGGTATTTAAAAAGCGTATTAAAGTGTAGGGGGGGGGTAGTTTAACTTAAAAAGTACGTATATCAATTTTCTAATTTATCACAATTAACCAGCTAATCAATAAAAAAGTTTAAGTTCTGACTAAAGATCTTAATTTGACAACATAAAAAGATGTTTGGTAACGGGAGTAAATGGTATAGTTTGCACACACATACATAGCGGGCCACATGATTTTTTGATGTTCCAGATGGGACACTTTCACACATTGTGCAAACTTCAAACTTAAGTATGTTTATACCTATGCCAAATGAGGAGGCTTGGGCGCAAAAAGCCCTAAAACGATCCCCTCCTCTTTCCCCCAGAAAAAAAGAAGAGGAGGGGTGTAAATTTTGTATGGTCATAACTTTAGTAATTTGCAAATTTTTCTACAAATTTTAAATCTATCAGTAAATTTAAATTTAGCTTCAGATGGTAAAGTTGAAATTTTACTACATTAGTGCCCTCTCGCTTGGATAGAGGGGTCGCGGGTCAGCCAGCGTTTTTTTAATAGGACTTCTTTGTTCCGAGGTCTCCGCCATCCCACCTTTTTGCAAGGTCTCCTTATTTAGCATAGTTATACTTTAGTTTTAAAGCTTGCCTATCTTCAGGACTTACAAAATAATGGTGCCTAAAAAAAAGGTCCTTTTTAAGTATAGTTTATTTTTATTTGATTCGTCATTAAAAGAAAAAAAGTACATATTAACTTGACCAGGGATCAAAGATCAACAGATCTCCACCGCAGTACTAACCGCTCGACTAAGCAAACATATTGTTGATAAGTAATTTAACTATTTTAAAAATAATATTTGCATATATTTGAAGAGGTTTTTTTAAATTCGCGTCCTGTGTCGCAAACAAAGAACTTTTGGGTCGTATAAAGTATCTAAGGTACCTCCTCCACCTTTTTTTTTTCCATAAACTTTTTTATTAAAAAAAAAAGTTTTTTGGGGGAGGGGGTATTTTAAAAACGTACGTATTTTTTAAGGAGAAGTACGCATGGCAACAGGGGAAAGAGGGGGTTAAGATTTCAAAATTTTAAGCAAACGACCCCTTAATATAACACATAATGCGTTGGTTGACTCTAGAGTTTGGACAAAAACCAACTTTTAGAAAAACCGATTTTCGAATTCTAAATTTTCCATAAGACCGATTTTAACCGGTTTTCGAACTTTTCTTTATTAAAATTGAATAACAAGAAATATTTAATTTATATATGATATTTACTTCACTTATCGTAATTTTTTCTTAGGAAATAGGATTTTAAAAAGGGTTTTATAGTTGTAAGTGCATCAAAGAATCTAAGTTTTTTGTTCATTGCTTTGACTCAAATAATAAAAACTCAGCTTTCAGTGTTTTTGGGTTAATGAGGTATTTGCAAACTCTTCAAAAAACTTTGTACTTGAACTTTCCATGACTTTTAAAAAATTATTTTAAAAAGCTTTACTCTGATGAGAACAGTCGCTTCTTTGATTTCCTCTTGATCTTGCAAGCTTGCAAGTTCTTGCAAAAAAAGCTTGCAAAAAAAAAAAATTTAGTATTTTTCTTTTAGCTTCAAAAATTGGCATTGTTGAATTGTCTAAAAAGTTGTTGTCTATTGCTATAAAATTCTATTGTAAACACCAAGCTTGGTGTTTACAATAGACTTTTATAGCAATAGACAACAACTTTTTAGACAATTCAACAATGCCAATTTTTGAAGCTAAAAGAAAAATACTAAATTTTTTTTGCTAGGCCTGAAATGTTTTCAGGATTTTGCAAATCCAGTAAAAGAGTTGCAAGTTCTTAGTTTAATACATAAACGTATTAAAATATTACATTTATAAAAACATTAACATAATATTATCTTGCATTTAAATACATTTTATAAATACATATAAATGAATATTAAATCCAAACTATTCGAGAAGATTTTGTTTGCCTAAAACTTTGTGTTTTACGTCCGTATATTTTTAGACATATACCTGTTTCTATTGCGTATTTATTACAAAACATTTTGCTAAAAATAAAATCGAAATCTATATCTACCACTGGAAAAAAGCTGCATGTTAAAAAAGCAAAGAAGTCACTGAACTTGTTTAACAAAATGTCATTGCATAACAAAAATATTCTAAAAAAATGTTAAAAAAATAGAAAGCCGGTTTTTGTAACTTAAAAACCGGTTTTTAAGTGTAAAATTTATTTGAAAAACCGCCAAACCCTAGTCGACTCGGCATTTATAAATATTACAAAAGCTTACTCCGTTAAAGTTAAATCAGCGCCAAATACTAATACACTTCGACTTTAGCAGTAGTTAAAAAAAACCGAAAAGCAAGGACTTGCTAGTGAACTTTCAATTTTGTTTAAAATATAAATTTTAACCTTTTTAACCTTTCGATTCCTGCATGACGTTAATGTTTCGATTCCTGCTTGACTGAAAAAGTTTTAATGTAATTGCTATTCGCTTTGCGTTACCGCTTTTTAACCCACTTCTGTGTATCTTTTAGATACACAGAAGTGGGTTAAAAAGTCCACTTCAATTTATCTTTCAAATCTTCCATTTCAGTGTATCTTTCAGATCTTCCATTTCAGTGTATATTTCAGATCTTTCATTTTATTGTATTATTCAGATCTTCCATTTCAGTGTATATTTCATATCTTTTATTTTAGTGTATCTTTCTGATCTTCCATTTCAGCGTATCTTTCTGATCTTCCATTTTAGTGTATCTTTCTGATCTTCCATTTCAGCGTATATTTCAGATCTTCCATTTTAGCGTATCTTTCTGATCTTCCATTTTAGTGTATCTTTCTGATCTTCCATTTCAGCGTATATTTCAGATCTTCCATTTTAGCGTATCTTTCTGATCTTCCATTTCAGCGTATATTTCAAATCTTCCATTTTAGCGTATCTTTCTGATCTTCCATTTCAGCGTATCTTTCTGATCTTCCATTTCAGCGTATCTTTCTGATCTTCCATTTCAGCGTATCTTTCTGATCTTCCATTTATTATTATTATTATTATTATTTTTTTTTTCAGCTTACAAAGTTAGTCGTTTTACAATACAATAAACTATTAAAATTACTTTACAAATATATATATACAAATCGCGATAACAGTGTAAACTAGGTTTCCGAAAGAAGATCATCGGAATCTTAAAAAACATTTATAAACAATATAATTTACGAATACCTTGTAAAGTATACGTTACAGTAAAGTAAAATATATATATAGAACTTTTACATTAGCAAATCTTTAAATATAAATAGTTGTTAACAACAAAACTTTAGGGAAAAAATAATAAAAATTTAAATAATAGATAAGTTAATTAATAGTACTCTAAAATGTTATCGAGGGAAAAAATTAGATTTTTAATTTTGTTTTTAAAAAGACAAAAAGAATTTGGTCGATCAAAATCAACATTAGGTAAAACAAGTTTATTCCATAGGTGCGGTGCACGATAGGCAAGACAAAATTGATTAAAATTTGTTTGACAGAAAGGTTCGTTAAAAAAAAAATTTCTTTTAAGAGTGTATTTGTTGCTGGGTTTTAAACTAAAAAAATCTTTAAAGCCTGGGGGAGATAGATTGTTTTTCCACATATAAACAAAGCATAAAATTTTTAAAATGTTGAGTTCAAATACATTTAAAATTTTCATCTCAATAAAATAAGGTTTACAATGAGAAAAACGATCAGCAAAGTTAATTATGCGAATTGCTCGTTTCTGACAGCGATAAAGACGAAGTAATTTACTTTTTTCAGTACTTCCCCAGGCAATATTAGCGTAGTTTATGTAGCAGTGAATAAATGAGAAATAAAGTTGCCTTAAGTGTTTCTTATTGAGATAAGTTCGAGCTTTGTACAAAACTCCAATGTTTTTAGAGACTTTAGTGCATATATAGTTAATATGTTGATTCCAATTAATGTTCTCATCGAGATAAACACCTAAAAATTTAATAACGGAGTCTCTTTTTATTTCAATTTCATCAATAAAGATTGGAGGCAAGTTTAAGGGTAAAAAATTTTTTTTCCTATTCGAATGAAAAAGAGTCCATTTAGTTTTGTCAGTATTTAAAGTTAATTTGTTGGATTTGAACCAGTGGGATAAAAGTTTAAGTTCTTTATTCACTGTGGCAAAAAGTTCGCTAATATCGCTCTTAGAGATGAATAAATTAGTATCATCAGCAAACATGATGCTCATCAGATTAGTTGCTTTATTTAAATCGTTTATATAATTTAAAAAAAGGAGAGTCCGAGGATTGTGGAACTCCACAGGTTATACTTAAACAATTGTTGTGATAGTTGTCATTACCAACAACAAATTGTTTTCTATTTGTTAAGTAACTTCTGAACCACCTTAACGCTTGGTTATTTACTCCATAGTATTTCAGTTTTTTGAGTAGGATGTGATGGTCAACCGTATCGAAGGCCTTCGATAGGTCGATAAAAATACCTAATGTATATTTTGATTGTTCAAACGATTTTGAAATTTCATTTACAAGTTGGATAATTGCATGCTCTGTTGAGCTATCCTTTTTAAAACCAAATTGATTAACATAGAGTAGGTTATTTTTGTCAAAGTCTTTATATATTCTGTTGTACATAATTCTTTC